TGTGCTTTTATTTAAAATGCATCTCTGGGCTATTTGTGGGGCATAGGAATTTGTTTTTTTCCCATCCCAAAATATAGTCTGCCCCCCCCCACAAGGTCTGAGGGACAGTTGACCAGCCCCCTGCTGAAAAAGTTTGCTGATCCCTAAAAGGTAAAGGTAAAGGTACCCCTGCCCGTACGGGCCAGTCTGGACAGACTCTAGGGTTGTGCGCTCATCTCACTCAAGAGGCTGGGGGCCAGCGCTGTCCGGAGACACTTCCGGGTCACGTGGCCAGCCTGACATCGCTGCTCTGGCGAGCCAGAGCTACACACGGAAACGCCGTTTACCTTCCCGCTAGTAAGCGGTCCCTATTTATCTACTTGCACTTTGACGTGCTTTTGAACTGCTAGGTTGGCAGGCGCTGGGACCGAACAACAGGAGCGCACCCCGCCATGGGGATTCGAACCGCCGACCTTTCGATCGGCAAGTCCTAGGCGCTGAGGCTTTTACCCACAGCGCCACCCGCGTCCCACTCTTGCTGATCCCTAGTATACATCAATAAATAATTCCTTTCTGTACAGTTGCTTTTTATGGAACTTCTCAGTAGGTACCTATGTAAATATAGCTTTTCAATTAATAATATTAAATATTGTTTATTTTTATCATTACCATTATGCACCCAATCAGCTTGGCACCCTGCCCTAAATCCAGCGCTGAGCCTGACAAACATTTCCTGCATTGCATGTATTAAATTATCTGGGGCCTCCTCTAACAATTTGTCAGTTAAGGTATCAGTGAATTACGTTAGAGAAGGGAAATCACCCTTGATCATACTAGCTAGCAACCCTCTCTCCCTTTGCAGGGCAAAGTTTTGGGGGCTATTAATTGTTTGCTGAAGTTCCAGTCATGCTATACCTTGAACTCTATAATTGAAAGGGTATCTGATCTAAATGGAGAGTGATGTGTAGATCCTGTTCTGGGGAACGTAGTTTCTGACAGTGCTTGATCCCAATGCCAATCTTTATTCGCTGCTTGTTCCTTATATAGATCTTCCCTCACCCCTTCTTCCCTGGTGCCATTTTGGGGTCTGCCTCAGGGGCCAACAGATCTGCTGGTTCTATTATGTTATTGGGCCAGGGGTTTAAAAAACACAAAAAACGCGTGCGCGCGCACACACACACACACATATGGAAATAGTAGCTGATTCACATACAGTGGTACCTCAGGTTAAGTACTTAATTTGTTCCGGAGGTCCGTACTTAACCTGAAACTGTTCTTAACCTGAAGCACCACTTTAGCTAATGGGGCCTCCTGCTGCTGCTGCGCCACCGGAGCACGATTTATGTTCTTATCCTGAAGCAAAGTTCTTAACCTGAAGCACTATTTCTGGGTTAGCGGAGTGTGTAACCTGAAGAATATGTAACCTCAAGCGTATGTAACCTGAGGTACCACTGTATTGCACTGACGTCATCCTCTGTGTGGTGATAGCTATGCCTGATCACATGATGGCTTCCTCAAAAGAAAATCATGGGAATGGTAGTCTCTCTCATAGAATTTCATTGCCTGGGTATTAAACCAGCTTATTCCTGAATTAGATGTGCTCACAGAGCAATTTCAAACAGCCAATCTAAGATCAGTTAAATCTAACCACAAATTCAGAACTCTTAGCTAGAATTTCTGCTGAAATTTTGCTAACCAAGAGACAGTCCTAATTCAAATGAACAACCTACATTTGCTCCTTGGTTCCAATAGGTCTCTAGGCAACCTGAGGTGCTCTTCCAAAGGCACAATTCTAATTTGGTTTGGTTTTGTAACCCCTCACTGCCTTGCAATTTAGAACTGAAACAAACGGCAGACAGGACTTGACTACATGCCAACATCAATAAACAGATGAAAACTCCGAAACTCACCTACAGGTGGTACCTAACACCAAGAAAACTAGCGCTAATACGCCCAGGAACCTCACCAAAATGCTGGAGAGGGTGCACCTGCACAGGCACATACCTCCACATGTGGTGGGAGTGCCCCAAAATCCAACTATTCTGGACAACAGCCACACAAGAAATATGTACAATAACTAAGCAAGTATTAGACATCACCCCAGAATTGGCCCTACTAAACATCTTCCAAGAGAGCAATGCCCATTTACACCACAAAGAACTCATAACCCACCTACTTTCAGCAGCCAGAAACACCATAACCAGACACTGGAGAGACCTGTCAGGAGTAATAATAATAATAATAATAATAATAATAATAATAATAATAATTTATTATTTATACCCCGCCCATCTGGCTGAGTTTCCCCAGCCACTCTGGGCGGCTCCCAATCAGTGTTAAAAACAGTACAGCATTACATATTAAAAACTTCCCTGAACAGGGCTGCCTTAAGATGTCTTCTGAATGTCAGGTAATTATTTATCTCTTTGACATCTGATGGGAGGGCGTTCCACAGGGTGGGTGCCACTACTGAGAAGGCCCTCTGTCTGGTTCCCTGTAGCCTCACTTCTCGCAATGAGGGAACCGCCAGAAGGCCCTCGGCACTGGATCTCAGTGTCCGGGCTGAACGATGGGGGTGGAGACGCTCCTTCAGGTATACTGGACCGAGGCCGTTTAGGGCTTTAAAGGTCAGCACCAACACTTTGAATCATGCTCGGAAACGTACTGGGAGCCAATGCAGATCTCTCAGAAACGATGTTATGTGGTCCCGGCGGCCACTCCCTGTCACCAGTCTAGCTGCTGCATTCTGGATTAATTGCAGTTTCCGGGTCACCTTCAAAGGTAGCCCCACGTAGAGCGCGTTGCAGTAGTCCAAGCATGAGATAACTAGAGCATGCACCACTCTGGCGAGACAGTTCGCGGGCAGGTAGGGTCTAAGGTAAGCATGGACCAATGGTACCAAATAGTACCAAATAGAAAAATTAACCAATAAACTGAAACTGACACGGGGACAAACAGAAGAAGACGCCTTTACCCCGGTATGGCTCCCCTTTATCAAATACACAGCCCAACAAGACAAGGACAATAATCCACCAACAGCATACAAATCAATATGGCTAACCTGATCCAAAACACACACACACCCCACTCACACACGAAAACAAAGATCACCACAGCCAATCACAAACAAACAACCACACCCTAGGCCAACCCCAACCTCTCTCACCACCAAAGGAACACAAGTGAACAGCACAAGCAACGCTGACACCAAACCCTACATACATTAAGCATAACAGAAACATCGCCACCCGACCCCACCCCACCCCCACCCCACCCATCTTCCCTCCCTCCACCCCTTCTTTTTCTTCTTCTCCCCCTAATGTCTCAACAAATGAAACGGATTTGTAAAAATGTTACATGGAAAAAATATGAGACACATTACACTTACTTCTGTAAAATAAGAAAATCTTTAAAAGAGAGAGATGAAAGGCCCTGCTGCATCAGACCAAAAGTTTATCCAGCCCAGCATCCTCTCTCACTCTGCTCACCCCGTTGTTTCCCCCCAGCCCACTCTTTTTTATATTGTTGAGGAGCCAGTTTGAGAGAAGAGCTCTGCGTAACTCAAAAGCTTACACACTGTTTTGTGAACGTTGGCTGGTTCAAACAACAGTATTGTTCTACAGTCCCAACAATACTGAGAGTGGTTTGACATGTATAGCTTATTTAGAACAAAAAGCTCACAAGGAGGAACAATTAAAACGGTGCCGTATTTTGGAGGAAAGGCAGGCTAAAATAAAGAAATAAATGAAACGAAATGCTGTTTGGGAATAGGACAGCGCAATATGCCTTTCACCGCATTATTTTAAATGCCTTTCCTCAGAAATAGAAAATATTCTTTTCTGGGGGAAAAATATGTTTTTACTGCTGTGGCAGCTGGTGAATTTTCATCGTCCACTCAACAGAATATGGAGGCAGAAAGGAATGAGCCGTTCCTTGACCCTTCTATTATTCCTGAAATTAAGCTTCACAATCCACTGTGAATACTCTACTGCAGACACATGCCAAAACAAGGGCTTTTTCTCTCTCTCTCTTTTTATGCTGCGGCTCACAAAGACTCTTAAGTCCTTTTTATCCCTATGGTAACCGCCAACCATTCATTTTCGGGACATGATGACCTAAACTGCCAAACATTGTTATGAAGCAGCAAGCTCTTTGGAAACACGGCCGTATACATCACTAAGCTACCTGAAGAAACATAGGTAACAGAGCGGGCAGAATAACTTTGGTTTGATAGCAAAAGAAGGCATTCCTTCCACTAAACAATAAAAAAACATGGTTTGAAGAGTCCTTTCAACTAGGCCAGGGGTCTGCAACCTTTAAGACAAAAAGAGCCACTTGGACCCGTTTCCGAAGGAAAAAAAACTGAAAGCTGCAAAACTCGTCATTATAAAAATAACTTTTTTGTCACTTTTTTATTATTTCCCCTCAGACTTACTCCTCCTCATAGAAATAAACGTTAAATTAACAAGTAACCTTTTTGTGTATGTGTGTTCTTCACTCCCCTTCAAAACAGTGACCAGCGTACATGCCCCCTTTCAATGCAGTGACCAGCATACATGCCCCTTACAATGTAGCAGATGGGCGGGCGGGCGGGAAGGTGACGTCGGGACGGTGCGTGACTAACGCACGCACTGCCCCCATGCGACGTCACAGCCAGTACAGCGCTCGCCACAGTGGGGAGTGTCGGGGCGCACAATGCGCCTCCTCCCCTCGCTAGTATCCACCCTGGAGCAAAGGTGTAAAAGAGCCACATGCGGCTCTGGAGCCGCAGGTTGCAGACCCCTGAACTAGGCTGCAGCATTTTCTAAAAAATAATAATAAGTTAACTCGTTTATGCCTTCTTGGATGTCCCCAGCCAAATGGTGTGCAACAGATGATTACTAAAAAGGGGACTTTTCGGTGGTGGCACCTGGTTGACTTTTATCCCCAGAGAGGAATGCCTAGCAGTTATGTTGCATCTTTTTCCCCCACTTTCTCTGCCATTTCAATAGTAAGACTATTGTGAACAACACCGAACTTACCTTTTGTTGGTATCTTCATGAACTTACCTAAAAAGATAAAGAAAACAAAAGATTGAGTTAAGCACTTGAAAAATCCATTGAAATCAGACATTATAAAGTTCATCTTAGGTTGGGTAGTTTGCAAGTCTCTGTGGCTTTGCATAATGTTTTGTATTTTTTTCAGAAGATTGATAAAGAATGTATAATCATTTTGGCAATTATTGTGTGTACATTAATCGCCAACGTGTTGCATACTACTATAAGTATGACTTAAGGCGGATACAACAGTCCATGTTTTGTGCCGCTGATTTTATTTATTTTAATTTATATTGGGTTTGTTTTATGTATTTATTTTGATCTCTTATAATATCGAACATTATTGATAACTGCCCAGAGAATGCCAGTTTGGGGGCAGTTTAAGAACATTGTTAATACAAACATAAAGACAGGTACTTACAAATATCATGGTTGATAGGTGATGCCTTAGAAGCCAAAAGATGCAATCTTCTCTAGCACCCACTTTAAGCGCCATGGATCATCTAAAAAAAGAAAAATGAGTGTTCTTTAGAACTATCGCTTCATACTTATATATATTTATTGATACTCTGCCTTTTCCCCTGACAGGGACTCAAAGCAGTTTGCAGTTAAAATAAGAACAGCTCAAAGCGCAGAGGAAAAGCAATCATTAAAAAAAAACAAATAAGTCTTAATAGAATTAAAACTCCCTCTACCTATATTAAAAAGATGTATTTGAGATATAAAAGATAATTACAATAAAAACAGCACAGCACCAGCACCCTCATTTGAAGCAGGCAATTTCCCCCAAAGTCTGTTGGATAAGAAGGTGAATATGTTTTATGCAGATATATTAACGGATCAATTATGGCTGCAATCCTATATCCACTAAGCCCCATGGAACTCAACAAGACTTGGTTCTGAGTAGAAATGTGTAGGGTTGCAATGTAAAACTCTTAATGTAACTTAGTTGCCCCACCAGTGGTCCTGTGGGATAAAGGGCCAGAACCCCAAAATTCTGCATTTCTTGAAAGGATGTAATGGAAAAACCAGTGGGACGCTTAAAAGAAACAGAAAACAACCACCCCTCTCCTATCTTAAAGTATTATCTTACCCCACTAAAAACAAATACCGATTTTTCTACAAATCCACACAGGGTGAAAGCTGTGGCAACAGAGCCATCATACTTTAATTCTGATTAGACTTTTTGGTTCCCGGTATTATTTGGAAACAAAACTCGCTTTCCAAAACACCTTTTTAAATTCTTGTTTTGGTTACAGCCTGAAATATACTCGGAGTCGAGAGTGAATTTCATGCCCTTTATTCAGCTCATAGTGTTGAGGAGGAATGGAAGTTCCCCCAGAATGTCTGCTTTATATACATTATTTACACAATGGGCCCCACATGATTGGCTAATTCTGGGATTCTCCTGTAGGCCAATCAGGTTGTGGATTCACTTCCACCTGGAGCTGGATTGGGTGGCTCCTGTGGACCAATCAGACTGCTGCATTCTGAATCCTATTGTTCTAGGACCAATCAGACTGCGGCAATTTGGATCCTATTCAACTCAGTACACAACACAGCCCTTCTCTTTCGCACATGCTGTTCCTGTTATATTACAAATCTTAACACGTGTCTGATTCTCTCACGATGAAACCACTTAAAGAAAATAAAGACCTGTGACATGTTTAAAAAGGAAAAGCGGAAGAAGCAAGAGTGACAGTTAGCTAAGGGCACAGATAGAACGACAGAAAACAAAAACCGCACAGGCCAGAAAGGTATGTCTCTCGGACCTTTCTCTGGACAGGAGCAACACTGTGGGCTTCAGTCTCTGTCACTCCCTTGACTGCAGAGCTTCTGTTAAAGAAATGCTGGACAATATGAGGGAACAAGGTTGCACTTTTCATTCTCTCTCTCTCTCTCTCTCTCTCTCTCTCTCTCTCTCTCTGCAGTCTCCTCCATCCCTTTCCTCATTTTCCACTCTGCCAGAAATCTCTTCAGAAAACCTTCCCCCCGGGCTAAATCCACACCGCACACTTAAAGCGCCATGATACCATTTTGAGCAGTCATGGCTTCCCCCAAAGAATTCTGGGAGCTGCAATCTGTTGTGTGCATATATAAAATAAAATTTTGGTGATATGCAAAGTGACAGAGTAGCTTACAGCTAGGAAGCTAAATAACACTTCCAGGTGATTGGTAGCTTCTTTGTAAAGACTATACAATGCCCAGACTCTTTATATCCAAAATAACTTTCCTTTCGTGAACATATAACTGTGAAGAATATATTTGTAATCTCGTGCTTATTCGAACATGGGCACGTTCCCACTTGAATTGCAGGTCTCACTCAGGCTTTACAGTTTCATCTAAAAGGCTTATACTTTCACCTCAGCAATATTCTCTCTGCTCATTACAGAGAGGCTCTTGCACAGATTTCTCCCTGTTAATGTTTAGGGATCCTTCCTCTGTCTTTTTCCCACCGACACAACACAGCATATCCTAAGAAGCCTCTCTCAGCAGCCATTGTCCCTCACACACAGAGAGAGAGAGAGAAGCAGAAAGCAGTTAAAAAACATCAGTTACTGGAATAACAGTCACAACAGAATGGAATGCCTCTCTCATGTGACTCACAGTCGGCCAATCACGTGAGAGCTCTGGGAGCGGTAGCCCAAGACTGAGCCATACATACTGAGCTTGGCATTATGTCCAAACTCAGGGTTTGGGTTCGTTTCACAAACTGTAACCAAAGCCTGAGTTTGGCTTACCGTTAACATGCAAACTGGACCAATATTTCAAGAGCCCTTATGCAACAGTAGGGCAATATCTTTGCCCCTCTTTTTACAGACTGGATGGGTGTGCAAAGACTAAGAGATAATGGCTTGCTTAAAGACGGCTGAGTCAAGATTTAAGGGAACTTCCTTATGCTGCTCTATTTTACTTTATTGTTTTATTAAAAGCATTTATAAAACAGCTTCATGTTTATTTAAATCTCAAATTTCAAAAACTCTAAGCTACTTTAATTGCTGAGGTGCAAATAGATAGGGTGCAATGTCTAGGCTATGAAAGGACGACTGCCTTGATGCAAACTAGAGCTGGATTGGGATAGCTGTAGCCTGTGTTTTCATGGCCATCCCAGTATTTTTGGGGGCATTTGGAGGGTATAATATAGCAACTTGCCTAACAGTACAATCCTACCCTAGCCCAATTGTGTTCATTTGAGTATTTCCCCAGTAAGTGTGTAAGGACTGCAGTCTAAATTAAGTTTCTCTTTCACACTTAGTTACCAGTATCAAGACCAGGGGTCAGCAAACTTTTTCAGCAGGGGGCCAGTCCACTGTCCCTCAGATCTTGTGGGGGGCCGGACTATATTTTGGGGAAAAAATATGAATGAATTCGCATGCCCCACAAATAACCCAGAGATGCATTTTAAATAAAAGGACACACTGATTCACAGGCAATCCGCAGGCCGGATTTAGAAAGCGATTGGGTTGGATTTGGTCCCCAGACCTTAATTTGCCTACCCATGATCAAGACCATAACTTGAGGTGGGGCCTTGCTAGTTCTCTGTTCCAGCTCCTGGTTATTTCTGGCTTCTGGGGTTTAGAGGAAGTGTGCATGCACACAAACGCTTATACCCAGAACAAACTTAATTTTTTAAATTTATTTCAAACCTAATTAATGGGTGAATGACAATATTATCCAGGCCTATAGCATAATGGACTTTGTCCATTTCTCTCACACACACTTTGTGGCTCCAGGTCCATGCAAAAATAAGGTCTGCTAAAGAAGGCAGATCGCCAAAGAATTGAAGCTTTTGAATTATGGTGCTGAAGGAGACTCTTGAGAGTCCCATGGACTGCAAGAAGATCAAACTATCCATTCTGAAGGAAATCAGCCCTGAGTGCTCACTGGAAGGACAGATCCTGAAGCTGAGACTCCAGTACTTTGGCCACCTCATGAGAAGAGAAGACTCCCTGGAAAAGACCCTGATGTTGGGAAAGATGGAGGGCACAAGGAGAAGGGGACGACAGAGGACAAGATGGTTGGACAGTGTTCTCGAAGCTACCAGCATGAGTTTGACCAATCTGCGGGAGGCAGTGGAAGACAGGAGTGCCTGGCGTGCTCTGGTCCATGGGGTCACGAAGAGTCGGACATGACTAAACGACTAAACAACAACAACAAACTAACCCAATCTGAGTTACAAACAGACAGAAATTTGTGTAAGGCAAATTTGGGTTTTTTCCCTCCACCATCTTCTATATGCCATAACTTCCTTCACTGGTTGTGTCATCAGCAAACTAAATTTGCCACTCTTGCGTAAGAAGCGTTGTGTTGATTAACAGTCCGTTCCAAATCTCATTGAGATTCAAATGAATATATGCTCATATTATTAAAAGAAAACAAAAAAGGGGAGAGCACTCAGAGTATGAAAGCACTATGAAAAATTGCAAAACAAAAAAAGCCAGACAATAGCTATAGCTTAGCATTTAGCTTTAAAAGCTATTAAAAGTACTACTTCAAGAAATGTCAAACCAGAGAGAAATTGTTTTATTTGGTTCAGGTAACTGAAATAAAGAAATAAACAAAGAGGGTTTCTATTAATATAATACGATTTAATTATTTAGAGAAATTGTAGCATGAAGGCTCAATCATCTTGTTTTTTGTGCAGGCAGTATTTATGGTAATAAGCACTGAAGAATATATGATGAGTGAACCTTTAAACACCATTATAATGGTATTGTGGCATCATGAATTGACAGGGAGCGGGGGAGAGAAATCAGCTCACAAAAAACTATTTGGTATCTCAATTCATTTGTTCCACATCTCGCATAATAAACACTCCAGTTAAAGGAGGAAACATAACATTGAATGAGAGAATATAGCATTCATTTTGTCTCTCAGTGTTTTTTCTTTTCTTTTTTTTTGAAGAAATCTTAGTGCAGTATCACAGTTGCAACTGCAACACAATTTACATCATAATCAACATCTGAAAGGCAGAACCAGCGATTTCGCATAAACACAGCATCGATGCATAAGGCAACAGCAGTCATGTAGCTACAATAGATTTAGCTCAATAGAGCACAGGTAAATTGTGTGCAGTTACTTCCCGCTGGGGTTCCAGATGTCTCATTTTAAGGGTGGGCCGATATTTTATCCATTCTAAGGCACGGTAGCCATATGTGCTAATAGGTGAAAAGGTAAAGGAGCCCTGGACGGTTAGGTCCAGTCAAAGGTGACTATGGGGTTTTGGCGCTCATCTCGCTTTCAGGCCGAAGGAGCCGGCGTTTGTCCACAGACAGATTTCCAGGTCATGTGGCCAGCAGGACTAAACCGCTTCTGGCGCAACGGGACACTGTGATGGAAACCAGAGCGCATGGAACCACAGTTTACCTTCCCGCCGGAGCGGTACCTATTTATCTACTTGCACTGGCCTGCTTTCGAACTGCTAGATTGGCAGGAGCTGGAACAGAGCTCACCCCGTTGCAGGGATTCAAACCGCCAACCTTCTGATCGGCAAGCCCAAGAGGCTCAGTGGTTTAGACCACAGCGCCACCTGTGTCCCTGCACGGATAGCACAGGGTAGTAGTGGAACCTCGGTTTTCAAACATAATCCGTTCCAGAAGTCCATTCGACTTCTGAAACGTTCGAAAACCGAGCATCAATGGGCTGGCTGCAAAGCCAATGGGGGGAAAATGAAAAGCCGTTCGACTTCCAAGGCAAGTTCAAAAATGGAAGCATTCACTTCCGGATTTTTGGCATTCAGCTTCTGAAACGTTCAGCAGCCGAGATTTTCGAAAATCAAGGTTTGGCTGTAAAGGAACAAAGGAGAGCCTTGCAGTTGCCAATCAGAAATGAGCTTTTGGACAGCAGAATTATATAATTATTTTTATATACTTTTTATTAAGTCTCCAACATTTCAAAGCATTTATCATCATATACATTTTTTAAAAAAAGATGTGAAGTTTCTTCTTGACTTCCCACCTCTCCTTTCCCGATGTTTGTTTTTTACTCCTTTATATTAGCTGTTTTACAACACTACTGTTAAATCTTTCATTAATCCACTGCTTATATTTCAAATCCTGCCCGCGACTTCATATATTGGTGGTATTTTAATAGATAATCCATCAGTAGCAGACTTGTATGAATTATTTCTAAATTTGAAACTACACACATATAAACTAGTATATGCACAAATACATATATGCAAACGCTTGCCCTGCTCATTTGGCAGAACTGGTCTACCGCTTCATTGCAAAAACCTTTCAGTGACTTCCATAAAATTGGCTGCCATATGGTTGGTTGAGTACACCAATGTACACACACATGCAGAGTGCTCACTCAACACGCCAGCAGAAACTGCAAATGGAAAGCTCAGAATGCGGTTGTTGAAGAAAAACAACGGACAGTTTGGGGTAAGGTCAGTTCCTTGACTGATAGGTAGCCCAAAGTATAATGCAGTTCCTCAGCTTAGCAGTTACATAAAGGTGTAGCATAAAGGAATCCTACCTGAGCCTGTTAATGCCCAACAGACAGCCTACAGCAAAAGTAGTAAAATATCTTTCCAGGAACACATCCACCCTGGAGAGATCCAAAACAGATTAGGTTCTAGCCAAGGGGCAGGGGCCAAGGCAGACTTGCTACAAACACAAGGGCTTGCTATATAAACACAAGGGCATTTATACAGGTGTGCTGACTCACACTTAAGCAGCTGCAGCTGCAGGTGTGAGGCAAGCACACCTTCATTAACGCTTTCTTGCCCTTTTTCTCTGCATGCATAAACTCACATATAATAATAATTTATTATTTATACCCTGCTCATCTGGCTGAGCTTCCCCAGCCACTCTGGGTGGCTCCCAATCGAGTGTTAAAAACAATACAGCATTAAATATTAAAAAATTCCCTGAACAGGGCTGCCTTCAGATGTCTTTTAAAGAGAAGATAGCTGCTTATTTCCTTCACATCTGAAGGGAGGGTGTTCCACAGGGTGGACAACACTACTGAGAAGGCCCTCTGTCTGGTTCCCTGTAACCTCACTTCTTGCAATGAGGGAACCGCCAGAAGGCCCTCGGCGCTGGATCTCAGTGTCCGGGCTGAACGATGGGGGTGGAGATGCTCCTTCAGGTACTGTATACTGGACCGAGGCCATTTAGGGCTTTAAAGGTCAGCTCAGCACCAACACTTTGAATTGTGCTCGGAAACGTACTAGGAGCCAATGCAGATCTCTCAGGACCGGTGTTATGTGGTCCCAGCAGCCACTACCAGTCCCCAGTCTAGCTGCCACAATCTGGATTAGTTGTAGTTTCCACGTCACCTTCAAAGGTAGCCCCACGTAGCCCCACATACACTATCATTAAGCAAAGAGAGGCAACCACCTCAGGCAGCACAATCTGGGTCTGGGTCTGGGTGTCCCACAGGTAAAGGAAGTAACAACACACACCCCAACTATTCCTTCTGTGTCCTCCAGCCCACCTCTTCTGTTGCCACACGGTCTGTCCTGGCCCCCCTAATCCAGCCTGCTGCCTGTGATGTGGTGCAGGAGTCTATCCTTGGGGAAGGACTAT